TTATGTGCCTAGCAACCTAGAGTTATGCCTATTACACAAACCTACTTACAGAAGGTCACTTTCGGTCTGATGACACATAAAAATCTAAATAGTCATGGCAGAGCAGCCATGATGGAAAAGAGAGTTGGGCATGGAGGGCTGGCAAAAACACCTGAACTAAACACTCCAGATGTCACAGTAAACTCAGGACTTCTACAACAAAACCCCTTTAATGAATAAAGTAGCACAGGTGACTGGGCTCTGACAAGGAAACCCACAATAAAGTAAAAATAATTGACTTACAGTTCGTAGATCTACCTAGAAAGAAAAAGAAAAATTTGTATGACTGTTGTTGCCCTATGTATCAATATAACACAACATGGCAGACGGTGAATGACAAACACACAAACACACTTTAAAATATTCACTTTTGTTTCAACATTCTAAATATAAATGATAATTTTAGCACAATTGTTACAACTTTCATGCCAATTAAGCCACTTTGAATTTAAATTGATTGTTGAATTAAAGAATTACATTTAAGCATTAAAGAATTAAAAGAAAGAATCATTATGTAACTAAATTGACCATCACATCCTGATATAGCCCACCATAACCAGCCACTGTGAGCTCCTGGTTTCTACTCAACCAGTTCACTCAGGCCCAAAATGTTCAGCCCAAGAGCATTTTGGTCTTTTGAAGTGTAACGTTTGGCCTATGAACTAACAGGTTGTGTCCCTCTGACCCGTCTACTTGTTGAGTTATATGAACTTTCAGATAAATATCAAAGCCTAATGAAAACAGGATATTGTATCATACACAGATCTGGCAGGTGAGCAGCTCATGGTGCAGTAAAGTCAACACATTATCCCAACAACCAGCCTATGTTACCTTATGAAGTTAACAAGCTAAATAGAACCAACACACCTGACTTGAGCCAACTTCCAGCCAGTCACTCACCTTCTTGGATTAGATTTCTTGTGAATCCAGACGTGGTGTCCTAACGTTTTACCGACGTTACTTAACCAAATATTTATGTCTGAAGTCCATAAATTGTGACTTTCAGAACCGTGTGACATTAACACACCTGTAGCAAGACGACACAACATATTATGAGTCAAATGTCCTTTTCTTAGACAAATGTTCTGGGACTTAACAAACACTCCAAACTCCATTTTGCTGCACAACACAGATGTGTTTGGCAACTTCTTGGTGCCAGAACAAAGTAATGAATCAACACCAGAGAAAACCAAAGCTCAGCTGAGAACATAGGAAATGAGGCAGTCAACAGCTGTTTACTGACTCAACCAACAAACAAACAGAACACCTGCTCTCACAATTTAAAACACCTGTATCCACGCCCACAGTGCGTGACTCTAGTTGATGATTGGTCTACGGGAACCCACACTTCCTCTCCTGTTACATAACATAAGGGGCGGGAAACCCCTTTTATTAAAGGTAAAGGCTGCACATGACGTGACGCTGATCTCCATCAGCTGATCATAGTGTCTCCAGAAAACAGGTGATTCTTTCATATTAAGAGACAGGATGTCTCTGCTTTTGACCAGAGTGAACAGCCTGTACCACTGAGTCAACACTGCCCCAAAGAGCCAGAACCCTGGACACAACCTTAATATCAAGTGTGGTTTTATGAGTTTTATTTAGTCCAGTCATGAATCTCCACAGTCTACATTTTCAATCTCAGCGAGACATAGAGTGAACAGCCTGTACCACTGAATTAACGCTGCTCCAAAGAGCCCAGGCACCAGGACACAACTTTAATATCAAGTGTGATTTTATGGGTTTTATTTAGTCCAGTCATGAATCTACGCAGTTTACATTTTCAATCTCAGCAAGATTCAGATGTCCTCTCTGCAGAGTTTCTGGTCCATAATCTAAAGCTGTGGTTGCTGGGAGGAGACGGTGTCCACATTGTCTGACCACAAACTGGCTGCTGTTCACCACTGTTGGACTCTAGTCAGTTATTTGTTTCAGTCATTTTTTTTCCCCATTAAAAATGAATTTGCAGTTGCAACATTAGCTGTTTCCATCTTGGCCAGTGGTGTTTGTCTTTTTGTCATACGATAGTAAAACTGCATAGGCCTGTTGGGTTGGATAAAACAGTCCTGAGAGGATCTCGGTAGTGGGACTATGGTGTGTAGAGGCTTCCACACATTATGAAAATAGATATTTGAGGCAAAAATAGTTTTGTTCTAAATAAAGTCAGCCTATATAGGCCTATATAAACATGACCTTAGTAGTTTGATTTCCCAGCTGTGTGCACTAGAGGGCGCTAGCGCATAAGCACTGGGTCATGCTAAGCTTGTCATCTATTATAGGGCAACTAATTGTTCATTATCAATTCATATGCCAGTTGTTTTCTTAATTAATAGATTATCTGTGATCCAAAAATGCCTTTTGTTCAGTTTATCATTGAAGTCTAAGAAAACCAGCACATATCAACATATGAGAAGCTGAAACTAGAGATTTTCTTGGCATTTTACTTCCAAAATGAATTAATTACTCAGCAAAACATTGGTGCCCCAACTCCTCCTATACAGTCTCTCACTGGGTAAAGTACAGGGATGATGCCAACAGAAGTTTCCTTTGTGACAGTAACTTTATTGGGTTTCAGAACTGCAGCTTAATGCAGCGAACGCAAACTGACAGCGAAGGTCTCTGCCTCCTCTAGAGAAGATTCTTATGTCCACCTACAGGAGTCAGTAATGTCTGAGTCAAAAAAGATCATTGGTAACATTCAAGAAGTTCATTTATTCCCTGTCACCTCGGCACATGGATTGCTGCATGTGCGCTGCAGTGCACCAGCTGCGACATGCATATGCGTGCACTGTGGTGTACAAACCTTGACCCACTTGTGCCTCAGCCTGTATTTTGCTTTGAAATTAGAACAAATCATTTCTGTTGAAGTTATCAAGCTAAATGAACCCACTGCCAAATATAGGAGCTTGTTAAAGCGCGAAGGTGTGGATCAATACAGCGGATCAATACTGTAAAAGGGTCTAAAGAGGCTGATGATCTGAGATGGTTCAAACCTGGTAAACACAGAAGAAAATGTAGAAGGTACATACAAAATGCAGTAACAGTACAATCTGTAAACACGCTGTCAACTCCTTAAACCTGTCATGGAACAGTCCTCCTTTGGATGCCGAATGGCATCAACTCACCCTGTTTTTAAATGTCAGCAAAACTTATCTTTATTCTCTTGCTTTTAATTGCTTCCAATACTGAGTTCACAGTCTGGTTTAAATTGCTTGTAATTTTGGTTTTTGGTTCTGAGGTCTGTGTGCTGTATATGGTTTGATGGTGGTGGGTTTTCTATGTTGTTTTGCCTTCTGTCTAACTTTCTGTTGAATTTAATGAGCTATATAAATAAACATCACTTGACCTAAAAGTACATCAAATCCACGCCAACAGACACCAAGACAGAGAAGTCTTGCTTGAGAAAGTGTTTGATCTCCACAAATGCTCAGTTTTAAATCATAAATATTTCATCAACATAAATAAATTCCATAATACAAACAAATTTGTGTACACACAGAATGAACAAGTCAAATTTCTGAGTGAACAGACCGATCTCCCGTCTCACCTGGTTATGACTTTTCATAAAATTACAGCCTTCTTTTAACATTACAAAGCTTGTCTTAGCTTGTTTCACTCTATTTTTGGTCCTAAAATGTTTTTTACTAACAGGACACACAGCAGCAGTGGTGAGCAAACACTGCATCAGAAAGGAAAGCCACTTGATTTAAGTACCATTATTGCTTCATATTACATAAAACAAAAAAATGAGCGAGGACAAGTTAAGGTGCACAGGAACACACATCAATCCTGTAATGACTAGTAATACATTAAACATGGACACGATTTGACATGAACAATTGGGCTGTGGAGTTCTTTTCAGAACACTGCAATTTGTTCATATAAACTCAAAATAAATTGGTCTAACATTGAAATGTTTGTTCACTGTAGCACAAGTGGTCACCGTGTTGGCGCCGCAGGAACAGTCCCCAGATCAGTGCTTCATAATGTGTTCAGAGCCCAAAGAGCAACGTTTAGCACACATCCCGCAAGCCACGCGACAGTTTGAACTTCACATGAAAATTAGCTTAGCATAAAGGCTGGAGACAGAGGGAGTAGCTAGCTGGCTCTGTCCAAAGTTCAAAATACACTGACATATTTAAATCATACACAGACGTGTAAAAAAGGACAGTTTGTGGTTTAAGGGGCCACTGCATGCTGGAACGACTTCCTGACAAACAACAGTTTATCTATCTGCCCACCACAACTGTACAGAGCCTGGGGTTACACCCTAGGTTTTGGTCTCTGCAGAGGCACATGGTGCTGGAGGCGTCACTGTGACCACACGACTTCACACAGCTACACACCCTGCTGTGCTGGTTCATCAAGAAACAGTTCTTGGCTCCAGGTCCTCGCTGAAAGTACCTAATGAAACCAGAGTAATACTAAAATAATCATATTTACAAAAATGCTGCATTACTGCTTTAGATTCAATTCGGACAGGGCTGTTAAATCCCTGACATGCTTCTGTCACACCTGTGCCTGAAAAACAGGTGCAAAGCCTTAGTAAAGCTACTGTAGCATGACACAGTAAGCAGCAGTGTAAACTAGTAGTGATGCGAAAAGTTGATACACTTTTGATCACATCTGGAGAGGAAGCTGAAGAATGTTGCTCTTCCTAATGTCCAACACAACTGGAGATAGCTGCTGACGAAAGCACCTGTAGTAACTGCTAGCGTTAGCATCCCTGGCTCGTGTCACAACCAAGGCACTGAAATGAAGCAGAAACCAGAGACAAACATCAGACTGTCAGAGGTGACGTGTTCTTGGCTCCAATCACTGTAGGCTAGATGGCGAGTCTAGCTGAAATGTAAACTGGTGTTGGAGTCCACAGCTGGCTGAGCTGCTCCGGTCAGTCAGGTGACATGCTCGCCTGTCATTGGCTGAGAGTTAGAGGGAGCTGCCACCCCAGTTTCCCGTCCTGTCCGGCGTTATCCTCTGCCCCCACAGAAGATGGCTGTGGAGGTCACTTTGCTGCGCCTGGCCCCCCCCTCATTCCCCCACTCTACAGGACGCCCCCTGACCCACACGTCAGGGTCCTCGTTCACTTCATAGATGGAGCCGTCCTCCGGGCTGTGCTCCAGTGAGTCTGGGGACGCCCTCGGGTTCCCCTGTTCGGGCTGGGCTGTCAGCAGCTTCCCAGGCAGCTGGCAGGTGGACTGGAGGCGGTACTGCAGCAGGAGGCGCTTGGGTTTCTCCTCCCTCGATAAGGGAGCTTCTGAGTCCCGGGCGTAGTTGCACTGATCCCACCTCTGCCCGCCTTCATTATCTACCACATCAGCTGGGCCTCCTCCTCCTCCTCCCCCCTGTCCTTGTCTGTTAGCACCCTCCTCGATGCCGTTGAGGATGGAGTCCCGTCTGAGCAGCTCAGAGGCCAATGTGCTGGAGGTCGCCAGCATGAAGTCCACCGGACCACAGAAAGCGTTCAGAGACGTCATCCCTTTACCTGAGGGGTACAACTGTTCTAAATGAATCCACATCATCTCACATGCATACATACTCATTCTGCACATTTTCTGATGAGCAAACCGCTGAGTATATTCGTCTTATATCAACTAGGATCAACCTGTTGCTTCAACAGACAGATCTGCAGCTTGACTTTCATTCTGTTTTATTTTTGGTTCATTTAGTTTGAGTATATATTGTCATTAAAGTATATATTGTCTTACTGAAACATGGTTACAGCAGGAAGAATATGTCAGTCTAAATGAATCCACTCCACCTGGTCACAGTAACTGTCACATCCCTCAAAACACAGGCCGAGGTGGTGGCGTGGCAGCGATCTTTGACTCAAGCCTATTAATCAACCCTAGACCTAAACATAGTTATAACTCATTTGAAAGTCTCACCCTGAGTCTCTCACACCCAAACTGGAAAACTCAAAAGCCTGTTCTGTTTGTTATTGTATACCGTCCACCTGCTCCTTATTCAGAGTTTTTAAGTGAATTCTCAGACTTTCTGTCTGATTTAGTGCTTAGTACAGATAAAATAATCATAGTAGGCGACTTTAATATTCATGTAGATGCCGACAATGACAGCCTCAACAATGCATTCTGTTCATTATTAGACTCAGTTGGCTTCTCTCAAACTAAATAAACCCACTCACTGTTTTAATCACACTCTTGATCTGGTTCTGACATATGGCATCAAAACTGAACACTTAATAGTTTTTCCCCATAACCCTCTTCTGTCTGACCATTTTCTAATAACTTTTGAATTTACATTAATGGATTATACTCCATGTAGGAAACAATTCCACTACAGCAGATGTCCATCTGGCAATGCTGTTACCAAGTTTAAGGAAATAATTCCATCTTTATCTACTTCAGTGCCGTTTGCCAACACAGTGGAAGGAGGCCACCTTAACCTTACTCCCACACAAATCGATAATCTTGTTGATAGTACTGCAGCCTTCCTGCGTAATACACTTGATACCATTGCCCCTCTGAAAAAGAAGGTAGTGAAACAGAGGAGGCTAGCCCCGTGGTACAGCTCGCAGCTCCGCTCCCTAAAGCAGGCATCACCTTTTCAGCACTGTAGCCAGGCTGACAAAGAGCCACAGTGCTGTTGAGCTTAACATTCCCTTAGATCTCAGCAGCAATGACTTAAGGCAGGAGGAATATGTCAGCCTAAATGAATCCACTCCACCTAGTCACAGTAACTGTCACAGGCCGAGGGGTGGCGTGGCAGCGATCTTTGACTCAAGCGGTGCTAACATGGTACTGCTCACTGAAACAGGCAGGAAGAACGCATGTGTAGAGATAAAAACTAGCCTTCCTGGTGTAAACTGTGGTTAAATACAGTACTGGCAAAACAACAGTTCCTGTTTTTGGTTCCTTCTCTCAAACTGGGTGCTAGAGTTCGATCCCTCTTTTAGTGCTGGTGCAGCATCATGTGGTCATGACTTCATGCTGCAGAGGTGTCACATGGACCAATGACAAAGGATTAACACGTTATGTGCATGTGTCTCCCAGCTTCAGTGGCAGAGAACTTGTCCTCAGTGCTAACCTGTGATCTTGGGGATCCCCTCCAGGGTGGGCACAGGGAAGGTGAGGATGATGCCCTGGCTGGTCCCCACCCACAGCAGGCCCTGGCAGATCAGCAAGCTGGACACAGTTACCTGACCTGGAATACAAAGAGACACTCAGTCGCTACCACGAGCACAACCTAACACAGGCTGGGCTACACTGCTGTCTAGTCACTACAATAAGTAACTGAGGCACTCTGTTGAATGTACACACTCACCAGGTGCTAGTTTTCTTCTTAGTCATTTATATAGTGTTGAAAAATTAACAAAGAATCAAAGACAGTGCAGGGCATCTTTCTCCTTCACTGACTGAAGAAACTTTCAGCAGCCAGTGACAGCAGCGAGCGCTCTGCTGCTGAGCTGCATGCAGTCACCAAACAGCACTTCATTATCTCGAGACATTACAGGATGTTCATAACGGTGACCCTATGTGTAGGCTCCTGACCGAAAAGGCTTTTACAGAAAGTGTCTGATTGAGTCACGTCTTGTCTGGACTTGCCTGGGGTCAGATAGGTGGTGCGGGTGGAGATGTTGACTTCCTGCAATGGTTCCAAGGTCTCTGTGTGGAACAGCTGAATGGAGGAGCCCCGGGTGAAGGCCATCCACACCCCCCCACCTGACCGCACCATGTGGCTCACACTGAAGCCTGGATCAGAGTGGGCTTCAAAGCTCTACAGGACGGGGGGTCAAAGGTCACCTGTCAGTAGAAACTGCAGCTCAAGGGCCACCTGTCAGTAGAAACTGCAGCCACATCTGACATACAGCTGCTTCACAAAGTATTCAGACCCCTTCACTTCACTTTGTTTTAAACAATTTTCCCCATCAATCTAAAACAAAAACTCAAATCCCTCCATTACAAAAGTTTCCAGAGCCTTCGCTGTGGCTCCAAAATGTGTTCAAATGCACCTAGTTTGCATTAATGAGCCTTGAGAATAACAGAGTGGACACTGTTTAGCACATGCACACAAACACGTGCACTCACTCCCTGCTTCTGGACTTACTTTTACATGGTGCATACCTCTCCACATGTGTATTAAAGGTTTCCCGCTGTTCAAGAAACCATTTTCCTGAACATTTCCAGGAAAACTCCACATGCTCCGGCCCCACCCGTGACCCCGTTCAGGGACTAAGCGGTAGAAAATGAATGAATGAATGAATGAATTAATGAATGAATGAATGTCAATAAACTGTCACTCAAATGATGAACATTAGTTGTGAAAACAATAATCCCACTAGTGGGGGGGGAATACACAACTCTTGTTCTGCAAAACTCACTCTGGAGTTCATCTGAGACTCAAACACAGCTTCGGCTGTCCCACTGAGCTAATTCAGAATCAAAATTGTTTTTAATTGCCATGTATGTTTGAACACACAGGCACTCGACTCCGGTACAGATTCTCTCAATTTGAGTCAGTATCTTTCAAAGTTAGTCTCTTTAGGACAAATTTCCCTTTGTCCCAGAATGTGGGCAGGGTAACAGCGCCCTGGTGGGCAGGTCTGAGATGCAGTAGGTTTCCAGAGAAGACAGCAGACTTCATGGACTGGTTTTTGTCCTGACATGTAACATGAGTTGTTGCACCTTATATACACAGGCGTGTAGGTGCCTTTCTATCCGCTCAGTTCAGTTTGCACAGATGGACAATAAGGTAAAAAAAAAAGGAGGGGTCTGAATATTTCCTGAAGCCACTGTAGGGTTTAGAAAAACTCTTCCTGCTGCCCATAAGCTGTGTACCTGTACGTGGAGGCTGGATCCTTGGATGACAGTGACTTGGTTGGCACAGCTGGCCCATACAGCGTCTTCTAGTGTGAGCAGACTGCGGACTGGCTCAGAGCCCAGATGCACAAGCCTGCATGAGTCCACGTCCCACAGTCTCTCTGAGAGGAAGAACAGCCTGTGCTTTAGCTTTAGCACCTTTCCAGAGCTGCAGTGTAGTTGCTGCCTCTTCACTCTGACATGTAAACCAAACCAAACCAAACCAACACAATCATGAGGTGGGTGGAAGCACTTACCCCCGGCCTTTCTCTGGTACACACCTACTTTGCCACTGGCCAGTCCAGCAAAGAGGAAAGACAGCGAGTGTTTGAGGCACAGGACAGGACAGATGTCAGGGTTCACCATGGTCAGCAGGCACTGAACAGACGTGTCCACACTGCTGTACACATGGATGCTGGGAAGACAAGGAGACATTGTCAGTCTAAGTCGCAGTCAAGTTATACACATAAAGGAATTATTGAACACTTGGGGAAATTCATTTCTTATGAGATGTCCAGATGGATGTCAGGCTCGTGTCTTAAACCTACTCCACCTACTGTCTTTTCAGCCTTGAGAATCTAGTGGATGCAAAACAAACTGACACCATCAGCTCACGAGTGCTCTTTACCCCTCCCATCACATCCTGTTTCCTAGCAATGGTGTGACCTATGGATGCCTGGTTGGGACAAACTGTACAAAATGCAGCCTCCAGTCTGAAGTTAGCGTTAGCTGGTTAACAGTAAATGTGTTAGTCCAGTAGAATGTTCTGGTTAATAATGTTACACAAATCTCAAATTACTCCCAAAATAAAATCATATTAATTAATATACATATTAATTCATTACAAAGGTTAAAAAAAAACAAAAAAAATGTTAATGCATTTTTAGGAGCTGGAGTTAGAAAGTGGTTAGCCTAGCTTAGCATGAAGACTGGAAGCAAAGAGAGGTTTTTAACTTGACTTGTGTTAAGTTAAAAAATTCACATGCCAACACCTAAGTCTCACTATAACTTGCTGTATTTGGTTTAATCCACACACAACTGAATGACTAGCCCAGATAAAAAGTCACAGTGTCTGTTCCCTGAATCAGTTTGTCTACAGACTGACCTGCCGTCCTCCAGGCCAACACAGATGATGTTTCCTATCTTGGCAGCACTCTGGGGCTTCTCAGCCGCCTCCTTCACAGTGCTGGGACACGGCTGCTTCACATACTCCAGGCACAGGACTGGGGCCTTTAGGGGGATGCTCTTCACCGGGCGAGGAGAGGCTCGGTTCAGGGAGAAGATCTCCACATGGCCGTGGTTGGAGCTGCCTCCTCCACCAGCGACCTAAACAACAGGGAAACACAACAGGGCCTGTGCAGTTTAACTCAAGGTACAGAGGTGACAAGAAAACACACACAATGAACAGAGTTCAGAAGGTAATAATCATGTAAAAGAATAAAAATACACAAATGGAAAAAAGAAAAAAAGAGGAATGTATGTGATGAAACGTGTACATTAGCACTGCAGATCTGTACACCAGCTATATGGGGGAATGCTGGCCATGTTTGGTTTGGTAAAGAGAAGGTGAATATGGTCAGCCAGCCTAGTATTATGACAATGAATGTGAGAAATAAACTTGAAACAGTTGGTAAGAAGTACTGACCCAGAGGTAACCCTGTGGTAAGGACGTGCTGGCAGTGCAGAACCCGAGCAGGCTGGACTGAAACGGACTGTGAAGAGCTGCCTGCAGCTACACAAACACATGGACAGGTTTCATTTACTGGGAGTCCTGGACAAAGATGTAAGCAGTGCAGGAGACGCTCACTTTCACACATGCACAATCAGAGGCAAAAAATATACTGTGAGACCAGATGGATACACATTTTCATCCATCAGCATTTATTTATTGTCATGGTCACAAAATGCAACATTACTGCCCAGATTAACTGGCAAAGGGACGGGGAGTGTTCGGGACTGTCTGAGGACACCTCACCAGAAAGAGAGGCAGAATACACTTCTACTCGTTGTCTATAGGGGATGGACAATAAAGTCTAAAAACATTGAATTAATAAATACAGATAATAGAAGCTAAAACAGCTTCATAAATAAATACTTGAATGATTAATGACAAAACACTCTGGTCCTAGAGAACTAGGAAAAAATGGATTTGTGAGATTTGTGATCGTCTCAGTTTCATCATTTTCCAGTGTGTTTTCCTCAAAAATAACATTATGTTGTGTCAATATGAAGAATATTTGGTTGCATTTTCCTTTTCCTTCTGCGTGTTTAGAGAGTGATACACAACTAGAAGATTTGGCTGCTGTGAACTGAACCAGTGTCAGAATCCGAACTTAAAAACCACAGATACACAAAGCTAACAGAATAACATCACCTTGCATTCTTACCTTCTTTCATAACATCTGTGTCAGTATGCGGCAGCTCTCACCTTCAATGTGTGTGTTTTGGGAGACAAAACCGGAAGCTTGCAGGTCAGCAGTGGACAACTAAACGGAGCTTTTGTCTTCCCATCTTCTGCAGCACATTCCCACCCCGGAGTGTTTTCCTGTCCTGAGCAGAAAAACCACACACGCAGTCATGTCTTACCATCGCTGTGAGGACATACAATGGCAGTGCATTCCCTGGCTCCTGACATTAACCTTAATCATCGTATCTAAATGTCTAACAAACCTCCTAAACCTGTTCCAAATACACAATGATGCACAATGAGTTAGTTTTGTCCACTAACCTAAACTGTAGAACCTTCAGTAAAGTTTGATGTACACTTCTTTTGTTTAGTTAAAACCTATAAACCTATTTTTCATATCCCCTCCCAAAAAGTGATCACATCTGAATAAAAATACTCAGCATACCAGGAATAAACAGAGTAAGTCTGAAACAACCGGCTGTGTCTTATAAACGAGGGACAGACCATATGTGGACACACACACACACACACCGTAACAAACAATATCTTCCCAGTAAGACCTGTCAAAGTCCCACTGCCATAAACAAAGATGGAAATCTAACTCCTGAATGCTTTACTAAAACAAAAGAGAAACCAGCTAGGTGTTTATTTGGCCAGTCACTTTTAAATCACAAGACTCCAAACACATAACTCAGCAAACATAAGCTGCAGATATCGGTTTCATTTTCAGCTTCAGCGTTCATCTAGTGGCCTCTTAATCCAGCACACAGCCCACGTAGCACAGACACAAAGTGCATTTTCATGTGGCTTTGCACAGTGCCGCGATAGAAGTCAGAAGATGTACTCAAAACATACAAGTTCTGGTGAATAAATAAACCAACTAAAAGGTTCTTGTGCTTGGCTGAGGTTGAAAAGTTTGGGTATAGGTAAAATCAAGATGTGACAAACTGCAATGGAAAGTGACTTGGTGAATGAATCACGATGTACTCAAAGAACATGAGTCTTAAACGTTCCCTTAAGCTTTGGCTACACTGGAGAATGAAACTCTGTGTGGACACCGAGGAGACTCTGATGCCACGTTCCCATCACGTTCTTCACTGTGTGAGGTTTGTGTAGCACTGGCTGCAGTTCCATCATCTTGTTGTGCATCCTTCTGCAGTGCTTTAATGGCACCTGCCTGGAAAATTTAGCGCCACCAGGTGTTTGTCTCCATAAACCAACCCCATAGTGGATGAAAACTCAAAATTAGTTTAAAATTCATGCTGCATTTGGTTAAAAATGTGGCTACAGCCTGGTGAACTTACTCTGCGCTATCTTGGCGAGGTGAAGCCGGTTCACCCAGGAGATCTTACTGAAGGGGCTGGGAGTGTTGAAGACCACCATGATGCTCACTGGACGGCCAGACCTGGGAGCAGAGGTGAAACCACATGAACAAGTCCAAGGTACAACCTGACTAGAGCTGAGCTGATTGTCTCCGCTCTGAGCCTGTCCTCTACAAACCTCCTGAAGCCAGATGTAAACTTCTGCATCACTGCACTGGACACAGTCGCACTGACATGAGACGTCCTTCCCTCTGATCCTTATGTGAAGCGTCCATTCACAAGATGATTTCCGATAAAGGGCATGTCAATCTGTAACAGACTTCCGCAAAGGATGCACTCTTGTATCCTCGGTTACAGCTCTTCCAGGCAGCCTCCTCGCTCCTCAGAGCAGGAATAAGAGCTTTGGGACGTCCTTCATCATTGAGGACCAAAGAACGATAAAATAAGGGAACTGGGATTCACCTTTATATGAACTCTCATATCTGTGAGTTTCAAGGGTCGAGGAGGCTGCTGGAGGAGCCATAAGCGAGGATACACGAGACCAGCCTTCATGGAAGGTTTTATGGACTGATGTGTTCCTTAATTGGAAATCAGTTGATGATGGAATCCGTCAGATGAAGGACTGGAGGAAAGGACATCCCATGTCTCTAAAAGCATGTTTCTATCTTCAGTTCCCACATTTTTGCTCACATATTTTGTGGGCAGGACTAAGATACAAGGAAAAGATGCAAGTGAGGGAAACGTAGATGCACACAAGAGTCTTGGGAAGCAGCCAATTTCTTTGTGAAACCATGCACTGCCCAACAGGAAGTTGGAATGTTGTATGTCCCTCAGCGACCTACCCTTACCCATAAATCCCTTTGCTGTGCAGGTAGCCATAGTTACAGAGAAGTATAAATTAGATTTGCCACTCACTTGTCAGGTTTGCCTGGGATAGACAGACGCAGGTGACACTTGTTGGCGTTCTGGATCTCCTCCTCCTTCAGACGGATGAGTCTCTGCAGAGCCAGACACCAGTCCTGAGCCACTGTGGTGTTCAGATTCTGACCAAGAGACAAGGGGACAAAGGAAGGACAAACCAGTGAGAAACAAGCTGTGACGTCAAGTCTCCCTGCAGCAGTTTGTGCACAGCAGAGAAACAACACAACACTCAATAACAAACACAGAACTCGCCTGTTGGTGGTTGATATTTGATTACCCATTTCAAGATGAAATCACAGACATTTTCCTTTCTGACACCTACAGAAGATGACTAAACTAAATTCTGTTGATTTGTTTTCACTTTTGTCTTTCAGACTGAATAGAATACCTGAATAAATACAGACTAACAATATTTACATATTCATAAACTCTGGGCTTTTCAGTGGAGATGCCCTCCAAGACCTGCTGCACATAAAACAACAACAGGCCCTGGTTCACAGTAAAACTTAAGCAGCTTCGTCATGCCAAAGAGGAGGCCTATAGAAGTGGAGACAAGATCCAGTACAGGCAGCCAGGAACACACTGACAAGGGAGATCAGAGCAGCATAGAGGAGCGACTCTGATAGGCTGAGAAACCAGGTTTCAGCCAACGAGCCCTCCTCTGTGTGGAGAAGTCTGAAAAATATCACTGGCTACAGGAAGAAGGCACAGCAGAGGATGTACTTCCTGTACCAGCTCAGGAAGTTTGACCTGCCCCAGGAGCTGCTGATCCAGTTCTAGTTCTAGTTCCAGTTCTTCGAGTCTGTTCTCTGCACCTCCATCACTGTCTGGTTTGGCTCAGCAACCAAACAGGACAAGTACAGACTTCAG